TGGAGGGCTGGGAGGGGTGGTTGTGGTGGTTGGTGGAGGTCTGGGAGGGGTGGTTGTGGTGGTTGGTGGAGGTCTGGGAGGGGTGGTCGTGGTGGTAGATGGAGGGCTGGGAGTGGTGGTTGTGGTGGTTGATGGAGGGCTGGAAGTGGTGGTTGGTGGTGTGGTGGTTGTGGTGGTTGATGGAGGGCTTGGAGGGGTGGTTGTGGTGGTTGGTGGAGTGGTGGTTGTGGTGGTTGGTGGAGGGCTGGGAGTGGTGGTTGGTGGCGTGGTGGTCGTGGTGGTTGGTGGTGTGGTGGTCGTGGTGGTTGGTGGAGGGTGCGGAGTGGTGGTCGTGGTGGTTGGTGGAGGGCTTGGAGGGGTGGTCGTGGTGGTTGGTGGAGGGTGTGGAGTGGTGGTTGTTGGAGAGGTGATGCACTCAGGTGTGAGCCGGCAACAATTGACACGTATCTTGTAGTCGTAACACAGTCCAAATGGTCCATTTCCAAACTGGTCTTCATTCTTGCAAATGAACCCGACGGAGAGGTCACACTGCACCTTCTGGCCCAGCTCCTCCAAGCTGAGGTGTGGCGCCTCGACGGACCTGCACTCGATGTCCTCAGGGGCGCTGCAGACCCCATCAAACGTCTCTCGGTCACCACCATCGCTACCGCTGCTGGGGTGGTTCTCGTTGATCCAGTCAGACCAGCGGCAGCACGGCTCTAGGGAGGCGAAACCCAGCTGTGGTGACTCACTCCAGGGAGAGGCACCTCCAGGAGGCCACCTGGATTCAGAGGACCCGGGGACCTCCATGCCCGTCCCCCAGATGCAACCTCTCTTTTCCCTGTCATTGCCAAAACCCGGAGTGCAGGGCCAGAGAGCTCAGGGCTAGACACCACTTCCATCCTCACTTTGCAGCTGAAAACCTGTGCCCAGAGAGACGGGGCCACCCAGGGCCACACCTGGTGTGACGGACCCTTTCCTCAGCTATTTTCGAGACTTTTTTCGAGGAATGAATAGCAAGAGAACCACCCATTCCAGTAGGAAGTGTGCCTGAAAGAGCTTTGTCTCCGCTCTTAACCAGCAATATTGTCACCCACAGCCACTCAGGTCCTGCTTGAGTCCCTGACCTCAGCAAACCATGAACCAAGTCCCCAAAATACACCCATCTTGGGTCCGTAAGCAGAGGAGTGCAGCCCCACCGCCTCACGTCTGGGCCTGAAGGAAGCACCCTGCAGGTGATTTTGCAAACTTCGCTCCTCCCACCCTGTGTTCACCATGAATATCGTCACCGTCACTTACCCGGAGTTATCGGTGAAACTGCAACAAAGCAGAAAGAAAAGAGGACGTCATTATATAGTTCAAGATCTTTGAAAATCTTGTCTTAATTTTTAAAGCTTCTTTTTTCTGTGGCTGCCGTACCCCTGTTGACTTGTCAGGTAGGATCTCAGCCAGAACAAATGCAGGGGCAAATAAGGAAATTTCTCTGATTTCTCTAACCCTTAGGGATGTTTCCCTGCTGGTTTTCAGAAATCTCAAGTCATCCTCCACCGTGACCTGGGTTTGGGGAGGTGGTCAGGATGCTACCATCTCAACTCACCAGGCGAGGGGAGTCAGGGCACAGCCTCCGCCCCCCCCATCGCCGTCCTGCCCAGTGCACAGGAATGTCACCTTACTCTGCAGCTGCTGTGCACCGGGCCAGGGTCTGCCCCCGAAATGGAGGCAGGATGCAGAGGAAGGTGAAAGCCCGAGAAAGCGCAGGGGCACCAGGGGGCCTCACCTGTGCTGGGGGTCGGGGGGGTGGTGGTGGGGGTGGTGATGATGATGGTGGTGGTGGTGATGGGGGTGATGGTGGTGGTGGTGGTGGGGGGGGGGGTGGTGGGGAGGGTGACCGTGGTGAAGGTGGTCAGCGTGGACGGGCGTAGCGTAGTGGACACACAGATGTTGAAGTGCTTCTCCACCGTCCCATTGGGGCCACAGATCTCCCAGTAGCAGAAGGCACCATCCTGGGTCTCATTGAGAATCTTTCCTGCAGGTGAGGGTGAGGCCAAGATCACCTCATCGGGAGCAGGGTCAGGGGAAGACGGGTGTGCCCAAGCTCCCACAAGTGGCAGGCAAATGCCCCAGTGGGACTGCCTTTGCCCCGGAGCCCCTCTCTGAATAAAGGGAATCCCATTGGAACACAGAAGCTGGATCACGGGAGAGGGTAACAGAGATTCCCCACAGGGCACCGGCACCCCAGAAGAAGAGACAAGTGTGTTACAGGAGCCCCGCAGGGCTGACGCACATCAGAGCTGGGTCTGAGCCAGTGGGGGGGACCCAAGGGGCAGAACCTGGGAGGAGACCAGCATCCCCCGCCCATCCAAGCTCCACAGGCTTCCCGGGGATGGGCCCGACCACCGCAGGGCTGGGGGCGAAGGGCAGCTCACCTTCCTCCGGCCTGCAGACAACTTGGGAGGAGTTGGTGCACATGCTGCAAAGCAAGCAGACGGCTGCAGGTCCACCCCACGGCGCCACGCCTGCCCCGCTCAGCCCCCGGTGTTCCCCCTGGCGTCCCTCCATGCTGTGCCAGCCCTGCTCAGACCTCTGGTATCCCCATGCAGCCAGTGCCGAGCCCAAAGCCCCTGGGTACTGCCCCAAAAGCCAGCCCCCCCATTGGGTCCTAACTGTGGGAACAGAGCAGGGACAAGGAGAGGAAGGAAAAGCCAGACGCAGAGGACGGGATGAGAACAGAAGACCCCACCCCAGTGAGGCAGGGACTGGTGCCTCCGTGGCCTGGCTCCCGTGTGCCTGCGTGGCTGTGTGCCTGTGTGTGACTGTGTGTCTGTGTCCATGCATGTGTGACTGTGTGACTGTGTGTCTGAGTGCGTGCCTGGATATCTGTGTCTAGGCATGTGTACACGTGTGACTGTGTGACTGAAGTATGTGACTGTGTGTCTGTGGCCATGCATGTGTGACTGTGTGCAT